GTCCTTTCCCTTATCTCTGCCTACTGAATACTTATCTATCCAAGTAAGGCATAAAGATATCTGGGGAAAGAGTTTTCCAGATGAAAGGAATATTAGAGTTCAGATTACATGGGGCAGATTACATGGGGCATCATGGGACACTGTAAAGACTATGCCTAGGCAAAATTTAAGCATTATCACTACATATAAATATAGGCCTTGTCTCTGCTGACAGATTATCACAGAGGGCTTTGAACAAATTAATAATTTTTAAACTAGGAATGTTTTTTATGGAAGAAGAAATTTTGTTTTGCTTCAGGCTAAACATGGCACAAGATTTTGTGTCTCCCAAGAAGGATTTCATTAAGCAAAGCAGAAATGTCCATCAGGATTTCTGAGCAATTGCACCTTCTTGTGATAATTTCATAAGGACTCTAAAGTAACTCCCACCCTCTTCTTCATTTGTGTGTTGTCATTAACTTACTTTACTTATTTAATATAAATATGATAATCATTTCTGCTTCTAAAGAGGGGCTTCTTAAATCAGGAAGATAGAAAACTATTTGCAATTTGGTTTACTTGAATTTGGATTTCCTATTCATTGCTAATTTATAGAGTTATTGGAGGATTAAATGAGTTAGTAGTAGTGCTTAGAACAATGTCTGGCACTTAGTAACTACTCTGTGTTTGTACTAATGATGTTATATTATACATATATATATATTATCCATTTGTTCATTTATTCATTTACAATTACAAATATGTATCAGGTACTATGCCAGACACATACTATATATCTTTACATTAGAAATGTAAAGATCTCATGTCTAGTGGACAAAACAAATATATAAACATATAATAAAAAATAGGGCTGGGCACAGTGACTCATTCCTATAATCCCAGTACTGTGGGAGGCCAAGATGGGAAGGTCACTTAAGGCTGGGAGTTTGAGAACAGCCTGGGCAACACAGCGAGACCTTGGCTCTAAAGAAAAAAAAATTAAAAATTAGCCTGGCATGGTGGCATGTGCCTGTAGTTCTGGCTGCCTGGGATAGTGAGGCAGGAGGATCGCTTAAGCCCAGCTCAGGAATTCGAGGTTACAGTGAGCTAAGATCACAGCACTGTGCTCTAGCCTGGGTGACAGAGGGAGGGAGGGAGAGAAGGAGGGAGGAAGGGAGGAAAGGAGGAAGGGAGGAAGGGAGGAAGGAAGGGTGATAAAAGCAATAATTGAGCTATATTTAAGGAGCAGTAACAGCAAAAGGTAGAAATGAATAATTATGTTTGGGAGAGAAGGTCACAGAGAAAAATGCTGCTCAAGCCAGTTGAGGGATGTTAGTAGAATACAATAAAGCAGAGGAAATAGCTTTAGCAAAGACACAAAGTCACGGAGCAGGGTATTTTGGGAGCCTAAATGCAAAAGACTGAAGTGTATGTTACAAGAAAAGATGGGAAAGTATTTGACAAGCCAGATTACTAGAGTAATGTATCAGTGATAGAGAATTTGGACATTCTTTATAGGTGATGGCAAGTCATTAAAGCTCTTTAGGTAGATTTGTAGATTTTCATTTTAGAAAATGTGTGGCAAGAGGCACAAATTCATATACCCTCTGCAGACCAAGCAAGTAAAAATTGTGTAAGTTAGGGTTTTCTCTAAAGTAATGGGGAGTGTTAGGAGAGACAAACTGAAAAGTGTGTAAAGACATTCAAGTAGTTTGAAAACCACAACAAAATAAATATTGCTACATAAATTCAGTCTGAGAACTGCCAGTTTGAACCCCTGGGGTACAGGCTGTGTTGACTGCATGGGGAAGAGAGTAGGAGAAGATAGAGACTAATTAAGGAATCCTTTTGTGTGAAACATAATGAGGAGCAAAAACAAAATAAAAGCTGCAGGGGTAGGGAAGAAGCCAAACTTGAAAAATATTTAGGGAGGGAAAAATTCATAGGCCCTCATGACCTATGGGAAGGAAGACAAAAGAAGTTAGAGTAATTCCTGTTTCTGACTGACATGACTGGACATATGATGAAACTTTCAACTCTACAAATGGCAAGAAAACATTTTAGTTTTACAAATGTTGAGCTTGGAGTACTTGTGGATCATCCAAGTGCAAGCTCCCAGTAGATGGCCGGATTTATAGATGCAAAGTGCAAAAGACAGGGTTGGAAATACAGAAATAGGAGTTAGCAGATTGTAGGTGGGAATTAACAACAGAGAAGTAGTTGTTATTGCCCAGAAAAAAAGTGTGAGCAAAATTATAGGGCACCTAAACTTTTGGGTGCTTTCATACCTGTGGTCTTTTCATTTTGATGATATCCTAAGAATTCTTTTTATTTAATTTTGTATTTTTCTCATGTAAATTTGTTATGTGGAAATGACAATGATAAGCTATACAATTTAGCATGGATATTCAAGAAATCAGCTTGTAAATAATGTATTCATAGAAACTGTAACACATACCTATATTTTCAAAACACCTTGTTAAAAACATATATCAGCATGTAATTCCATCCAATTTACCTTAGATGATTCCTTGCTAACTATTTTATTTGGAAAGACATATGCCTAAAAGGAAGGGCGAATATAAGCACAGGAAGCGAATGGAGACAGATTATACATAAAGAATAGCACTGCCATTGTTCTAAAGGATTCTACTTTAAGATTTTGTGTGTATGTGTGTGTGTCCTTAGAGGTTTTAATTCACAAAAAAAAGCAAGAAGTGAAGTTTTAAAAACTAAGGCTAGTTACAGCTAGCATACTGTTTACTATCCCTGTTTCCAACCAGGAGTGATTCAACCCCAATAATTGCCCTTCGCCTGGAATATTTGGGAATAAATTTGGTATGAGGAAAGGGCGAAACAGGCCCCTACATTAAAGCACAAACATTCCAAACCCAGGAATGGGTCAATCCCTATCCAAATGTTTACTTTGGGTCTATCTACATAACCTATTAAGTAAGCTTCAGCTTCAATTAGCAAAGACAACTACTAGAAGAATAATGGAGAAATATTATAGTTTTCAGCTCTTTTTATAACTGTTTGCTTAACACTTTTAAATGAATTAAAAGCAGATGTTGAAATTGCTGCCAACTGTTCACTTGCCATCTGTGAATGGGAATTAACTTGGTTTTGTTCATCATTAAACTAAATGTTAGGCTTCTGTAGTTTAAAGAGTCTTGGAATGCAGGTCCTGATGGGATTTTAAAATTACAAATAACTGAAGTAATTTTGACAATTATGAAAACATTTGTCCTCATAAAATAAAAAGGGAAATTCTTGGGAAAGTGTAGAATTCTGAAACTCATACACAGTATCTTCATAAATAAAAATCAATATTTTTATTGTCAATACTTAATTGTTGGCAATATAATAGATAAGAAAAATTATCTAGAAAAAGTATCTCAGGATAGTATTAATTTGTACTTATTCAAAGATAAAGTTGACTTTTATGGCTTGTGAATTATCTGTTCATGTCTTTTGTTTTTACATGAAGTTTTGGGTTCTTTTCCCCCTCAAATATTAAAAGTGTTTTATATATTGTAAAAAAAAAATCAATATTTTGTTATTTAACAAGAACTTTGGGGCACCATCTATACGTTCAGCCCTGCGTTTGGTGTAGTGGAGTTTGCAAAATAACTTTAAAAGGGATTCTCAGAGTTAAAGAATCCTAGAGCTGTGTGATTTGGTGCCCAGACAAGAGTGTCTACTCATGGACCTACAGAAGTTCAAAAGAGGTACAATGTCTGGAGGGCTGGGATGATATAAGCAGGAATCTCAGGGACATGTTAGATTGAACAATGAAGATTGTGCAGGATTTGATATTACTTCACGTGGCAGCCAACCTCTGAGATGGCCCCCAGTGAGGTCTGTCTTTGGGTATTCAAGCTTTTGTGTAGTTCTCACCCACAATGAATAGAGCTGACCAATAAGATATTGTAGAAATGATAGAGTATGACTTCTGAGGCTAGGTCATAAAAAATATTGTGGCCTCAATCTTGGTGTCTGTTGAACTCTTACTCTGGGAAAAGTCAGACACTATGTCAAGAGGACATTCAAGCAGCCCATGGAGCTACTGCCAACAGCCAACACCAACTCACCAGGCATGTGAGTGAGCCACTATGGAACTAGATCTGTTAGCCCTAGTGAAGCCTCCATATGACAACAAATCTGGCCAATATCTTGACTGTGACCTCAATGGACTCTAAGCCAGAACATTCAGCTAAGCTGCTTCTAAATTCCTGATGCACAGAAATTGTGAGATAATAAAAGTGTTTATTGTTTTAAGACATTGAGTTTTGGGGTAATTTGTTATGCGGCAATAGATTAATACATCTTTATTTATTTATTTGTTTATTGTAGAGACATGATCTTGCTATATTGCTCAGGCTAGTCTCAAACTCCTGGCCTCAAGTGATCCTCCCACCTCAGCCTCCCAAAGTGCTGGGATTACAAGTATAAGTCACTGTGCCCGGTTTAGATTAATACATCTTATAAGGTCTTCATCTCTACCTAAGAATGCACAAAAGTCAAGAAAAGATAGACTATTCTATGAACATAAAATAAATGATCAAGGGTTATGATCATTTCTTTCTTTTTAACAAATGTTATAATATTATAATGAAATATAAAGTAAATTCTACTACCATAGCAACTATGATGACACAGTTGAGTTCATAATCCCCATCTGTCCTTCATCCCAACCAGCCATTTCTATATAGGTGAATGGCTTTATCCATTCCAAAAATACTTTTAAAATCCCTTAGTTCATTTAATAAATATTTATTGAGAATCTACTATGTATAATAGGCACAGTATGAATTAACTACATATACACAATATAATTTACATAATTATACAGCACAGAACACCAAATAACAGATGAAAAATATTTTTATGTTTTGTACAATTTTATTCAAAAGACACTTTAATTTTCCCTCTGTAAAAGATACAATTTGATTTTATACAAGGTTAATATGAAATAATACCACATTTTTCCATTTAGGTGTGAGAACTACAATTAGAGGTACAAATACAGACAGGACACATGCTGTGTGGATGGTGTGGTGATTGGATGTTACTTTCTTAGGGACACATCTTGGAATGGCTGCATTGTGCACAGACCCAATGATCACCACTATTAGCATCACCTTAGCACAGCACCGAGTCTATGAAAAAAAGAGTTTCTAAATTCTCTGCTCCAGAGGAATATAAAAAAATACAAAAACAGAGGGAGCACCTAGTATCATTGATGAGATCTTCTTACAATTAGGATAGAATAATGTAAGAAAATACAGGTGGATGATTTTATAATGAAATCTTTTCTACCTCCTGAAAAGGGTTTTTTTTCTGAGTTAAGCAGAGATCCATTACTAGAATTTAACAATTCTACTTGAAATCCCATATTGATTTTTTTTAAGCACACAACAAGCCAGGTAAATGCCAGGACCTAGTGATTTTTTTGAAAGTACAAAAATACTCAGAAAGTTACACCCATAAAAATGTGTAGGCAGGTAGAAAATTTTCTGTGGACAGAACATTTTCAGAACATCAGAACTGTCATCTCAGGAAGTGAGGCATGTTGGGGAAAATGCGGACAAACCAGATCCAGAGTAAAAGGAAGGACTTATAATCAGAAGACTCACCAACCAGGGAGATCTGTACTAACTCAGAAACCTGGATCTCAACAATCCAGTGTGCTTTTTGTACTTTCAGAAGACAAGGCAAGGTGAGGGGAAGGTGTGGATGAATCTTCCACAAAAGAAAGAGGAGAAAAGACTGACTTACTTACCAATGAGGTCTGCAGTAACAAAGTGATGGCCTGGATATTAATGACGGAAACCCAAACAAACACTGTAGGGAGTGAACCAACAGAACCTGTTTAAGAAAGAGGAATCAAAGATTTACCAAGTCTCAAGTACTACTTGACTTCACAGCTAGATTCCTAGAATTATCACTGGGAGAAAGGATGTCCTCATGGTCATTAATATGTGATCTCAGAGTGAACACTCAGAAGAACTTACAACAGGTCGATGAGTAAAGAACTAATGATACAAATACTTTAGAAGACATGATCACTCACCAGTTTCAATTGAAATCTTGTCCCTGGTGGGTCCCCATCAATACGATATCGAACCTATCTAGGACTGGCTATCTAATTTGTGAAGCCTAGCACAAAATGAAAAGTAGGGGCTCCTTATTGCAAAATTATTAAGAATTTCAAGACAGCAGAGCATTAAACCAAGCACAGGGTCCTTCTAAGTGTAGGGTCTTATTCTATTGCATAGACTGCATGCCCATGAAGCTGACTCTAGCTCTATTAAAGAGAATGCAAGTCAGAAGTTTCAACTTTAATTGTATATAATGAAGAACTGCTTAAAAATGTCAAGTGATATATTTTCAGTGGAATATAATTTTTACCAGAGACTATAAAGCAGTCACTGATTTAATCATATTCAAAATGAATTACAACTGAGGATTAGAATCACCTTAACCAGTGAACAACTGCTTGTCTTGTAAATGACAGAACAGTTTTTAAAACCATTTTTTAAAAGTTTCTGAAAACCTACTGGCAAAAATTGAAGGGACACATGGGAGGTCTTGAATATTAGGATGGTAATTTGACCTAGATTCATGCCTTTTATTCTTTTTGGTAGAGGGCATCTAAAACCTCATTCTATGTTAAAAGAAATTTTCCCCAATGAAGGACTGAACATCACACAGAAATCCTGAGCTTAGAAGTGGGTGCAGTAACATGCAGCTTTGTGTTATTTCCCTTTTGGGAAGATAGTGAACATGCTTTTGGTTGTAAATGAGATACGTGTACTATATTTTGTGTTTATTTTAATCAAATAGTCTTTTTAAATTATGAAAAATTTTAGATACCAAACTATGGACTCTATAAAGAATACTGGAGACCTATGTAGCCACCTCTCAGCTCTTAAGAAATAAAATATTAAAAATTTAATTGAAATGATTTCTTCCCCTTCTCCAAATGTAATTGCCATTCCGATTTTTTTTTTTTTTTTTTTTTTTGAGACAGAGTCTCACTTTGTTGTCCAGGCTAGAGTGAGTGCCATGGCGTCAGCCTAGCTCACAGCAACCTCAAACTCCTGGGCTCAAGCGATCCTCCTGCCTCAGCCTCCCGAGTAGCTGGGACTACAGGCATGCGCCACCATGCCCGGCTACTTTTTTTTTTATATATATATCAGTTGGCCAATTAATTTGTTTCTATTTATAGTAGAGACGGGGTCTCGCTCTTGCTCAGGCTGGTTTTGAACTCCTGACCTTGAGCAATCCGCCCGCCTCGGCCTCCCAAGAGCTAGGATTACAGGCGTGAGCCACAGCGCCCGGCCCCGATTTTTCTATATATCATTCCCCTGCACTTTCTAGCACATAATGCATCTATTCTTATTAATACATTCTTAATGATATACATATATTTTTTTAGACAGACTCCCGCTCTGTCACCTGAGCTAGAGTGCCATGCCATGGCATCAGCCTAGCTCACAGCAACCTCAAACTCCTGGGCTTAGACAATCCTCCTGCCTCAGCCTCCCAAGCAGCTGGGACTACAGGTGCATGACCACGCCCAGCTAATTTTTTCTATTTTTAGTAGACACCAGGTATTTTTATTTTTTTTTAAGACAGAGACTTACTCTGGCTTGAGTGCCGTAGCATCAGCCTAGCTCACAGCAACCTCAAACTCCTGGGCTCAAGCAATCCTTCTGCCCTCAGCCTCCCTAGTAGCTGGGACTACAGGCATGTGCCACCATGCCCAGCTAACTTTTTCTATATATTTTTAGTTGTCCAGCTAATTTCTTTCTATTTTTAGTAGAAACGGTGTCTCACTCTTGCTCAGACTGGTCTCCAACTCCTGAGCTCAAACAATCCGCTTGCCTCAGCCTCCCAGAGGGCTGGGATTACAGGCATGAACCACCACACCGGCCAGACATCAGGTCTAGTTCTTGCTCAGGCTGCTTTGGAACTCCTGGCCTCAAGCTATCCTCCCGCCTTGGCCTCCCAGAGTGCTAGGATTGATTACAGGTGTGAGACACTGCGCCTGGCCAATATATTATCTTTTTAACACCAAATATAAATGACACTGTACTTTACCAATCTGTCTGCCATGTTTTGCTCATTCAAAATCATATTTTTCAGATTTATCCATATTGTTACATGTAGGTAGTTATACTTCATCACTGATGTTTCCAGAACTTGCAGATGTATTTCCTTAGGTCCATCCTCCTAACAAGTGACTGCCCCAAGGTCCCAGGAGTAGTCAGTGGCAGCCAAGGGGCCGGCTGTTTTGGTGGTACTGGTGGTGTGGGCAGTTTGCACGTGGAGGTCAGGCGTTCACTCGTGTGGGGTGAAGGGGAAGTGGAATGGGAGAAGGATCTTGGCAGCTCTCCCTGGCCGAATTCCCTTACTAGAATTTTAAATTTGGACTTCCAGGCTGTTAAGGTAGGAGGCTGGAATATATTTCCTTCACTATTTATTGCGATTTACAACTTTTAAATATTCAGATTTAAGTATGTGTACTTTCGTTTATACTTTTGACTGGCCCCACAAGTAGAGGTGGTCTGCCCTTCCCTTATATCCTGCTTTCTTCAGGTCGTATTCTTATAGTAGGAAATTACTGAAATGTGGCTCTCCTTCTAGGTCCACTTGTATTATTTGTATTAATTACCACCGCCCCTCCTCTCTCCACTAGCTAGGACTCTCAGCTGTGTGCTTGCTGAGCTCGACGCCAAGTTGGAAGGAAGACGCTAACCCGACGCCAAGAAGCGACGCTTGAGGCACGCTTCCACCAAGCTCCGCCCAGCCCGGGCCCCGCGGCATCCTGGGACGTGTAGTCTTTAGGGGCACAGCAGCTTCCGCCAAGTCTCCTCCCCCAAGCGCTGGACGCTGCCTTTCGCCCTCCGGGACGTCGTGACGTTGCGTTCCTCCGGTCCCTTACCACTTCCCTTTCTTTCCTTCTGGAGAAGCTCAGTCCCGGACTTCCGAAGACTTTACGACATTGGGTCTCAGAGTCGGTCTCAGCGCCAGGTCCACTTTTCGGCAAAGTGACGTGGACGTCAACAGCAATGGCGGAAGGAGAAGAGGTCCTGCCACCGCCAACGTCGAGCGGCGACGGCTGGTGAGTGAAAGCCGAGGCTAAATCCCACTGGCCTCTTTTTCTTATTTCTCACCATTCTGGGGTTCCCTGAGGCACCGTCAGGCGCCGGCATGAACGGGAAGACCCGTCCTTGGCAAAGTCCGGCGCCCTGCCCCGCCCCCTCTGCCTGCCGAGTCCCCTCTGCCTGCGGGGTCCCCCCTGCCTGCCGGGTCCTGCCCAAGGGGCTGGGGCGGGACTCGAAGGAAGAGGAGTGTTGTCCAGGTGCTGGGCCTCAGTTTGGGCCTCTCGCTTCGTCCACTGCTCTCCAAGATGTGCTGGAGAGGGTGGCTCCAGGGCTGAGTTTGGCTGAAGTCCCTGGAGTAGACTGGTTAAGACGAAGTTTCTTGGATGCAGATCTGGGGAACTAAAATATGATTTGAAGAAAAGACCTTGTGAAATTACTACTGTGATCTCTGCCTGAGGGTTCAGAGGTTGAGAGATACACCCAGGGAGGATCCCTTCCACATAGTTGAGATGTTTTTTATATTGATTTTTAATCTGGTTTCGCGTTCCAACAGTTTTTACCATTCGTCTCTTCCACGCAAGCCGTCTTCTTCCTTCCTATCACTTCTCTCGCAGCTTGATATCACAGCTTCGGATGCAGCATGGGACTTCGCTGTTGCCGCTCCCAAGCCTTTACGTGCTTACCTGATTTGTACTCAGGCTTGTGGGGAGGCCCTCGAATAATTTTTTGGTACACTACTCGGTGTTGTTAATCTTTGGGAAATGCTTCTGCTTTTGAAATAGTTGATCTTCACAATAGTTAGGGAAAACATCATTTTAAAAAAACCTTTTGAGGTTTGTCTGATTTTCACAATTGATTTAAGTGTATTAACCCACATGTATTTGGATTTGCTTGTTTTTCTTTTGTGAACAGCTCACTAGCACTTTGTTTACCTAAAAATAATACGAGACATTTGTAAGTATCGAGTTTAGTCCCTGAGAAAAAAATGGAAATTATTGAAACGGGTAGATAATAGAGTAATTGAGAAATTCAACTCTCAATTAGCAGACATCAAACATTTTCTTAGTGGTCTCCAAGGTGTAGGAGAAAAACTTATGAGAACCTAGGTGTAGTTTCCTTCCTCAGTTTGCTTATTTTGGAGTTGGGATCTGTAACAGGTACACTCAGTAGCAAGGTAAAATTAATCTTATTCTTTGGGAGTGTGATTAAAAGTGTTACGGGAGTTGGAGGAGTGCAGAAACCACTTCCACTTGGAATCATTAGGGAAAGCTTCATGAAAGCAGTGGTGTTTGAATTAGACCTTGAAGAATGAGTAGTATTTAGACCAGCACTGTCAAATAGAAGTATAACATGACCCACATAAGTAATTTAACATTTCCTAGTAGCCACATTAAAGACTAAAAAGAAACAGGTAATATTAGTTTTAATAATCTATAATACTTTAATATATTCAACGTATTATTTCAACATGTAATCATTTTTAAAAAACAATTAGATAATTTTACATTTTTTTTTGTACCAAGTCTTATCTAATGTACATTTTACATATACCCTACATCTCAATTTGGTCTAGCCACATTTCAAATATTAAATATTCACACACGGCTAGTGGCTAACATATTGGATAGTAGTCAGATTAAGAGATGGGAAAGGCCTTTGACTGCAGTAACAGCATAAGCAAGGGCATAGGCAAGAAAACTAATGGTTTGTTTGGAGAGTGATAACTAGAACTGCCTGGTTGAACACAAGTTGTTGAAAAATAGGTCTGGAAAAACATTTTAAAAGATTTTAACCAGTTAAAGGGACCTTTTAAAAGTCATTGACAAGGACATTGCAATACTTTTCAGAAAGTGACTTAGCTGGTTATAACCTGAAGTCTCTAACTCCTGGCCTCAGGTGATCCTCCCATCTTAACCCGCAAAAGTGCTGGGATTACAGGCATGAGCCACTGCACCTGGTCAGGTTGTAACCTGAAGTTTGCTGTTTTGGAAGGGTGAGTTGTTGTTTCACAAACTGGACGTAATCAGCTGATTGAGGGCCATGAGGGGAATGTTTCTAGAGTTAAGGTATCTTGGGGAGTTCTTAGGTTAGGAGGATTGTGAGCATGTGTCTAGTTCACAGGCAAGGCACATGGAGTAAATGGTTGCTAGAGAGATGGCATTTGTTCTCTTGTAAGGTTGCTGTGTCTTCCCATTTTTGTTCATTTTATTTTCATGAATGGAGGAACCATGAGATATTCTGTGATTTCTATTCTTTCTCCATCCTCTTCTAATCTTTGTCCTTTTTTTTGAATCCTTACTCTCCTCAACAGTCACTCAGGAGTGAGTTTGAATAGAGTCAGGAAAGACCTTGGGAAAGACCAGGAGAGCACTCTTGGAGTGCTTGGTGAATGAGCTGTTACCGAACGAGGTTGCTTTTTTGTAAAAAAATAAATAAATAAATAAATAAAGAGTAGATGTTTTTATTTATTTTAATTTTGTCAGATACAGATTTTTCTAAAATATATCATGTATCTCACTTCCTAACCCAGATTCATCTTAACTACTCCGGGTCTTTCAGTTTACAAATATAAGTGTATAAGAATAAAACTAGGTCCTTGTCCTCAAGGAATTTATGGTCTAGTTACAGGAGTTGCATTTAAGAACGTTGATTAATTTTGTGCTGCTGTAATTTGCTGAGACCATTAGAACCTATCAAGACAGATAGTGTAGATTGTTGCTATGTTAAATGGCTCCACACAGCCATCCCTTTTTGGGACTGCTTTTTACAAGTTTTTCCTGTTTTCTTTCTTGTCAGTGGTATCTCAATTTGTTCCTACTCTGTGAAACTAAGTAATTGAACTTGTTAAAATTATGTATACATTCCTAAAAAGGCTCAGGATGGAGCTTTAAAACCTTAAAAGTACATGGGCTCAATGATACCATTTATTACTTATTTACTAGTTTTCAGTTATGGTCTAGATCAGTGGTTCTCAATTTTAAATGTGCATTGAAATTAGCTGGGGAGCTTGTTTAAATTCTGACTCAGATTTTGGGGGCGACTTGAGAGTCTTTATTTCTGACTAGCTCCTAAGTGATTCCAATTCTGCTAGTTCATGGACCACACTTTAGTTAGTAAGGTGCTAGGTGATGTGTATCTCAGAATGAGTAGGTCAGTGGAATTTATCTCTCTCTATATGTTATATTGTATCACCTTACAAGTTATACTATAATTTATCTAAATACGTAACTTGTCATTGCTCTTTAGATAGTGAACATCTCAAGAGCAGTGGCAGATAGCAGGTAGCTCAGTAAATGTTTGTTGAATGAATGTATGCATGAATGAATACAGACTTTTGTATAATCATGTGCAATGGCATACCAAGCTGTCATTTCATATAAGTTTCCTGACTCCAATGTTTTTGTGAGCTGTGTAATTGTCTGCTGGCATAATGCTCATTCTTTATGGAAAGCCAAGTGGATCAGAAACTGCATCAGCTCTCAAGCTTTCTGAGACTTCAGCCATGTAAGCTCAAAGGGTGTGGTGAAATCCTTGTAAAAATAGTTAATTTGAATTGATACAAACTTAATTTTAAAAATTAATGTATGCTGTGAGAATCTGGATTTGTAAAATCAATGTTAAATTGTTACAATTCAAAGATTGACAGTTATTCTTCTTGGTGTTGAAGAAGCCAGCACTGGATTTGAACAGATGTTCTCATTTTCTGAGGCTTTCTTCCTGACATAATTCCTAAAGATCTAAATTCATAGTTTAAAAAAAAATTATATAAACTTTAATTATACAACAACTGATATTCCGAGCTTGTGTAATTTAAAATGTTTACTCACAATTTTTACTTTTGATTCGTGGTTCTAATTTATTGCTAAGCTTTTCTTAAATTATCGTTAAACTGTTCTTAAAATATAAAGTTTTAGTTCCATAAAGAAGCTTCTATTGTTAATTTGAGATGTGAATAGGTATTGTTTTGAGAATAATGAGGTATTTTTACAAGTTTTGTGCACTCTATAAATAGCCCTGTGTCAGTGCTTCTTACTTTATAAACATTAAAACATGAGGAAAGATTTAAAATGTCACTTAAGGACTGGATGATTGCAATTTCAGATATGATATAGTCAGTAAAGAAATATGTTAAATATGAAAGAGAAAGGAACTCTTTGTTTAAGAACAACACTGGCCGCTTGTGGGACTAGGAAGACCAGATATCACCTTAGAAAAAATGAAGAGAAAACAAGCTTTATTATTTCAATTAGGGGTTATTAAGTGACAGCTGTTTGATTTTATAAACTATAATTAGAGGGCAGGCAAAGATGAGAAATTAAGATGACTTATTTTTTTA